ACTTAGTCCCTCGAATCCTCTCGGACTTACCCAGTATGCATGAAATCCAAGGGTATAAAAACTTTTTGAAGAAGGCATGAATTATTTGGATAAATGGCCTGAAATTCAACCCTGAAAAAAAAAACCCCTAACCATACATGTAGACCAGCAAGCCACCTAAATACCGGTACATTGAACCCTAACCATAGACCAGCATGTCACCTAAATACCAGTGCATAGAACCCTAACCATAGACCAGCATGCCACCAAAATACTAGTACATAGAACCCTAACCATAGACCAGCATGCCACCATAATAACCTAAAACCTGTTATGAGTTTAAAGATTTTGCATAATTACACACATTAATTGCACTTCCTCTCATCCAAGTCTTAGTAAGTTACACATGTATACCAAAATAGGTTGAAATATAGTTCAGCTGCAGATTTAAAGAAATTGCAGACTCTGAATACTTTACAACTAATGAACAACAGATATACAATAATTATTATTAGTACCGAGTAATTATATTTATATCAGAAACTGTGGATAAACTCAGAGCAATAAAGATTACACATCTTATATGTCATTAACAACAACAAAAGTTTTTTAATACATAAATCTCATTTTATTTTTAGATGAAAGGGGCTCTAATCAGTGATTGCTAAAAATTAAAACAAATTCCATGAATGACACAATCTTAAATAATAGAAATGTACAATTACATATTAGTTCAGAGGATTGCATTGGGCACTATTAATGTCACATATCTTGCTGCTAATCTCTTGTCATTGAAAGCATTCAATCCATTTTGTTCTGCGGCTTCACTAAAATTTCTTTCCTTTGTAGATTTAGCATTAATAAGTTTCCATTTGAACCATTTCACAAACTGCAATTTATAGATATATCTTACAAGACAATTACTACATCCACAAAACATTGCTATTGGATTATGTGAAAAGTAAAGATCCTGACATCGAGCTTTTCAACAGCCATTACACCTCCTGTAGAATGTTCTGTTTACGAGGAATTTAGGAAGCCGAGTTTATCAGGATTGAGTTTTAAATCTTTCCTGTTTGTCACAGAGATTCACAACTTCCTGATTATCCGCTATATTAAACACATATAAATTAAGAGAATATTATTGAAACAGAAGTTAGAATATCCAAGCACTTTGAATTGAACATTGTTTTTATCGTAGATTTGTGAACGCCTCTTCAACTGCTGCTGGCACAAAACAACACAGATGATTATTGTCCACACTCCTCCCCAAAAATCTGAAGAGAAAAATAAAGTGGATACAGATTTCAATGAATAAATCTTTGATGTATTACTGAAATTACTGAACATTTGAAGCAGATGTTGATGTACCACTTCTTTTATGAAATAGCCAGTGCCTAAAACAAGACAAGTAAGCAACCATGCTCACTAAATCAGACTTTTATTGTATACAAGGGTGTGGATAAATACCATTTTGAAACTTGGAAGTTACTGTATACAGGATCTTGTTAATAAATACCCATATACATATCACAGTTCTCAGGTAAGCTTTGATAAAACTTTCAGTAAGATGTGGTATTCTTGGTGCAACATAATTATCTTGTTAATAACATCATATACAAACAGTGGCATACAGGTTCTCATTGGTTAAGAAATTAATAACATCAAATGGCTATAAATTGTTATTGACAACGATGAAACGACTTAAGCCCCGCCTCTGTGCCATGCGAGAACTTTTAATTGGCTATTTGCTATACTATTTGACATTTGGCCAAATTTCTATCCATGTACTATATTTCAACCGTGAAGGAAAGCTGCGTAAATTTCAGGAGCTAATTATGTAACGTTGAGTATGCCACGCCTTACTGAAAGTCCAAGCTTAACTGGGAATTGTCCTAAGAATTCTCGTCTTTGGTATCAAAAATTTATTGTGCCTTCTAATTATTGACACTCTCCTTTATCAAATACTAAAATACTCTTTGTACTTAAGTGGCAAAAAAGGGGAAGATGACATGTAATCTCTCATAAACAACAAGCAAAAAGAATACTCCCCCTTTCCTGCACCAATTGTGTGTATATTAGTACTTTTCAATAAAAATCACTTTCTGTTCTTGAAATTTTTTTAAAAAATCCCCCCATTTTCTTCTGTACAAACTTTGACCCCTTATTATGGCCTCACTCTCACAATATCGTTTGATTTGAAACAGTTTAGATTTTTTATTTTCTGAATCATTAATTTCTTAACAATTAATTTTTAAGATAACACCACAATATCTCAGCATATTCTAATTAACCTTCCCTTGTATTGGGATTCTTTTTCACCAAACATGCTTTGTGCCAAGTTTGGTTGAAATATGCTCAGTGGTTATTGAAAAGAATTAAATATAGGCCCACGGGCCTTTTTTCACGTGGTATTGTGTAACAACTTTCAAACAATATAAATTTGGCATATAGTGTTTAAACCGGAGGCCATGAAATTCACAATTTACAATTTTGAAAGAGGCACCATTGCTTATCATAATTATTAACTTAGCATGCTTATCTCTATTTACTTAATACAATTACTTAAGAGTAACAAAAAAAATGCACTTCCACTTTATAACCAGTTGTTATTTACCTCACCCCAAAGGAACCACTGACCCAGGGCCATATATTTCAAAATTTTGCAAATTTTATCATAAAATGGTTGATTAATACCAAAGAGCAGATTTCAAAGATTTAATTTATTTTCAGTACACAAATGTTAAAGCCACGTTCTCACGAGAATAGCAACAAAAGTTAAAAAAAACTTTGCTAGATTTAATGCACCTTTTATTTCAAAAATATATATATACTTGGGTAATTGGCTTAAAACCCAGAAGCAAAGAAAAATATTTACAAAGAATAAATGTATTTTTACTATATAATCAATAGAGCCCCGCCATAACACCAGAACCCCAAACCCTGGGCCCATAAAATTCACAAATCTGGAAGAGGCACTCTTGTTCATCATAACTATGTGCTTAGTGAGTTTGATCAATACCCAGGACAGAGAATATATTTTCAAAGAAATAATGCATTTTCACTATATAATGCAATTAGTGCCCATCGATCCCTAACACCAGAACTTTAATTTGGGGCCATATAATTCACAATTTGGGATTGGTCATTTTCATCATTGATCATGTGCTTATTATTTTATCTAACACCCAGGAGCAGAGAAGAAGATTTTCAAAGAAATAATGCATTTTTGTATATAAACTGCTTATTTTCAAGCCCCGCCCTAACACCATAGAACCCCTGACCCTGGGGCCATAAATATTTTACAAATCTATGTAAGAGGCACTCTTAGTGACATCAAAATTATGTGCTTAATTAGTTTATCTAATACCCAAATAGCAGAGAAAAGATTTTTTGGCAAAGAAATAATGCATTTTCACTATATAAGAGTGCATATAAATGCCCCGCCCTATATATTAGAACCCCTAATATAATCTCTTCTTCCAAATAAATATCACAAATCTGGAAGAGGCACTCTTGCTCATCACAACTATGTGCTTAGTTAGTTTATCTATATACCCAGGAGCAGAGAAGAAGATTTTCAAAGAAATAATGCATTTTCACTATATAATTTTTTAAAGACCCACCCTAACACCAAACCACTGACCCTGGGGCCATAAAATTCACAATTTGGGAAGAGGCACTCTTGCTCATCATAACTATGTGCTTAGTTAGTTTATCTAACACCCAGGAGCAGAGAAGAAGATTTTCAAAGAAATAATGCATTTTCACTATATAATCTATAGAGCCCCACCCTAGCACTAGAACCCCTGAAAAATCCTGGGGCCATGAATTTCACAATTTGGTAGAGAACTCAATGCTTATTACATTCATGCCATGATAGTTTGCCTGCTTGATGTCCAGGAGTAAAGAAGAAGATTTTTAAAGATTTCATTAATTTTAGTGGTTTTGGCCCCACATTTATTTAAAAGTTAATTCGGGGAAATGTGAAAATTCACAATTTTTGTTTTTCCACCCATAATTTGTATACCAAATTTGGTTGAATTTGGTTCAGTGGTTTCAGAGAAGAAGCTGAAAATGTTCAAATGTTAACACACGACACACGACGGACGAAAACGGATAGCAATAGGTCACCTGAGTTACTCAGGTGACCTAAACATATAGAGTTTATTGTCAGACTTCAGTTGATGATTCATAGCAGACAGACACTGGACTTTTTTTTTGTCAGAATCTTAATTGTATTCATCTCTTACCTAATTTCTCTAAAGCTAATTTACTTGAGTCCTGAAAAAGAGAAAAAAAATTAATTACATGTCATGCTGAATTTAGAGTTTATCACCAAATCAAGTGAATATAAGTCTTAAAAACATGGCAAAAGTTCATTCAACAAGAACCTTATTTAATGTGTAATATACTTCCTTTTTTCAGTTTACTTACAAATTACAAAAAAATTAAAACCATATAACCAACTAATACTAAGAATTCAAAGAGTGATGATGTGCACTTTGAGGGAAGAAATCAGTCTCAAATGCATTTAATTTACACAGTAAGAACAAACTTACACCCAAATCTAGGTTTCCCATTATAACATTGTACTACAGAACCTGTCTAAACCGACAATCTGTCAGGATAAAGAGGGAGGGTAGGCATGCCAGAGTAATAGAGGTGCACATGTTATGAGATGTGTGTTAGTAGTGATATCGTGATCGCCGACGCAGTGAGAAAAGTCCTACCCATAATGCAGCATGTCATATGGCAGAGCTTTTTTTGTCCTTTATATAACTTGAGAAAACCTACTGCAGTGAACGCAACATCCTAGCTAACAACTGAGATCTACATGGGAAATCTACAGTGTGTTACAGCAGGCACTTGTTCTTGCAGGAAGATTGTTGGACACAGCTAGGAGCTGGTCACACACATAAACTAAAAATTAACTTAAGAATTAAGGTTAGGGTTTAACATTGAAATTCATCCTCCAGTTTCCCACAAAGCCATGGAAATGATTCCATAAAAGATGTATAAGTCAGTCTCCCTGAGTAAATTGGGAATCACTCTAACTGACTAGTGCATTCCCTGGGTAAATTGGGAATGACTTTAATAGACAGGTGCTTGCCCTGGGTAATTTGAGATTGACTCTGACAGGCAGGTGCTTGCCCTGGGTAAATTGGGAATGACACTTACAGACAGGTGCTTGCCCAATTTGAGATTGACTCTGACAGGCAGGTGCTTGCCCTGGGTAAATTGGGAATGACACTTACAGACAGGTGCTTGTCCTGGGTAAAATGGGAATGTCACTTACAAACAGGAGCTTGCCCTGGGTAAATTGAGAATGACACTTACAGACAGGTGCTTTCCCTGGTTAAATTAGGAATGACTCTAACAGACAGGTGCTTGCCCTGGGTAAATTGGGAATGACTCTGACAGTCGCTTGCCCTGGGTAAATTGGGAATGATTCTGACAGTTGCTTGCCCTGGGTAAATTGGGAATGACTCTGACAGTTGCTTGCCCTGGGTAAATTGGGAATGTCACTTACAGACAGGAGCTTGCCCTGGGTAAATTGGGAATGATTCTGACAGTTGCTTGCCCTGGATAAATTGGGAATGATTCTGACAGTTGCTTGCCCTGGGTAAATTGGGAATGTCACTTACAGACAGGAGCTTGCCCTGGGTAAATTGGGAATGACTCTAACAGACAGGTGCTTGCCCTGGATTAATTGGGAATTACTCTAACTGACAGGTGCTTGCCCTGGGTAAATTGGGAATGGCACTTACAGACAAGTGCTTGCCCTGGGTAAATTGGAAATGACTCTAACAGGCTGGTGATTGCCCTGGGTAAAATGGTTGGGAATTTGTCCTCTACTGCTAGTACTGCTGTGTGGGAATAAAGGGACACAGCGGGGCATGGAACACTCACCACACACAGTACTAAGTAAAGGAGCTCAAGACATAGCTTTTCTTTATTTTTCTTCAGCATTTAACATTCAATACATTTTAACAAGAAGCCTGTGTTGAGCTCCTTTAAATCATTACCACAGTAATTATAAACTGTATGCAGTTCTGATACAAGGATCTGTAACAAAGTGTACATTCAATATTTGGCCACTAAATGATTTTTGATATAACACAAATATTGTCTTTAAGTCTTTTCAAGATGAGAGCATACATGCCATCCTACACCATTCTGGAATGAAGCTTGCTCTAAATCAAAGAAATTGCGCAAATGTGGATATAAATGCAGCTTGGTGAACAAAATGAAGTAGATGAACATGCTTTGAGTAATGAACACGATCCATGTAGTGTTTTTTTTTTAGACAATGAATGAATGATTTCTGATTTCATGCATTCAATGTTATCTTAAAATAACATTCCAATCATTAAAGAAGCAATAGAAGTAAACATTACAACATCAATGGCTGTTGACACTTCTGTCAGGAAAGAAAGGATTCAGTGTTATACTGAGACTTTGTTTTGTGATGTTCATCTACATACCAGCGTTTGTGCGGGAGACTACAGTGAGTGGATGATTGATAAAACCAAGATCTATCGCAAGAGCTAGTACACAGACATGCAACAGACATAATTATAAGCATACAACAGAGAGGAAAGGCATCTGGTAAACTGCCGAGAACAGAGTTCAATCTGTGCCACCAAGAGCCCCATTCATTCTGTGCGGGCCCATCACTGACAAGCATTTCAACCAATAAACCAAAATTCAACAGCTTACAAAACTTGTCATTGTCATTAAGACTTTTCATTGGGTTTTTGCATAGTAAATTTATAGATTCTCTTGATTTTTTTTCTTTTCTTTATCAAACACATACAAATTTGCAACAGCTGTTTGGATGTACATGTATTTTAGGTTAAGTTGCACTGTGAAAGGACCAAAAGAGTAAATAAAATGATTACTTTTAAATGTATTTTATCATGTTTATTCCTTTTTTCACAGAAATAATCAGTTTAAGACCACAATTAACAAAATCTTGAAATGAATTTTGAAAATTGGAATTAATTGTAGGTCCATTTAACGAGGCCCGATCTAGTTGAAAATTACGAAAACGGAATGATAAAAAATTTTAATTCTTGTAGATATACTTGTATGTTTTATGCTTAGAAAAATTAAAATGAAATTTTGTTACATTGCCTTTATTGTAGTGAAATGGGGGCACTGTCAAGATATGGACCATTTGTCGTGTTTTTATACACAATTACATACTAAAACTCTTCAATAAACAAAGAAATTTACAAATCTAAAAAAAATACATGATGAAATTCTTTGTTTTTCACATATATCATGCAATTTTCATTCTTCTTATAAAAAATGAAAAGAAAATTGGAGGTAGCCTTTATTGCAGTGAAAAGGGGACATGTCAAAACACAAAATTTGGATTTATTCTATCCAACTACATATTTTATAGGTCGCAATGGGTTTACATAACACCAACAAACGATTGCAATTCTGTATAAGTTTCTAAAAAATAAATATATACCCCACCTTTGATATCCATTGAAACAAAATTGATTGTAGCTTTCAGTTGTTCAATTTTTCTGATTCTGCATTATATGTTTATATGCATGACATTCTGTGTTTTTTCATATAGTCATTTATATGTAAATAAATGGCATTTTCAATTCACAGAATCTTATTTTTGTTTCTTCGTATCAAACAGAGTTAAACTATTGTCAGTGGATTTACAAAAATAATTCTTACATTATAAAATAATTTTCTCGCCATGCTTTATTTTTCTCTTAACACGCGACGTTGTTTTACATGGAAAAAAGGGGTAGAGGGAGGAGGGGGGTTAAAGGCGACAAAATTGCGATTTTTACTAATATTATGTACGGTAATATATAGAAAAATAAAATATTTCGGGGGTTCAATTTAAATGATTTATAGACTTATTTTATTTTTTAAAACTGAAGATAATCCATGCATATTTAAGTCCGCAATAAAAAGAGTGTGTATAAACACTTCAACATGTTCAAAGAGAAAGACTAAACTCGTTTATTTTTAGTTGCAGTGTTTCCTTTTTTTTCTTAAATTCACAAATTGAAATAAAATTAATGAATCTGTACCAAAAAATTGATCCATCAAAATTAATTACGCTCCAAAGTTGTTTATCAATTTATACATTTTTTAAAGAAATGTAAATAATAGAAATGCCAGCTTTCAACTTGCACAGTCTATAGAGCTACCATGCAGGTAAGCAAGATCAACGAAACATTTTAGCGTAATTTGACGTCATTTTAATTGTGACGTTATTATGTTCAATTGTGACGGCAGTCAAGGGTATTGTGACGTGCCTGAGTCGACGCTGCGTTAAAACGTATGCGCAGATCAAGTAGATCGGGCCTCGTTAACATGTTAAAGTTTTAATTATTAACCATGTTACCATGATTAAAATAAACTTAGAATATGCCAAATTCAAGAAGTTTTATTAGTGTGAAGTCCAGCCTTTTTCCAGCAATCTATGCATATTTACATCAAGTTCATAACCTATAGACCTTAGAAAATAAGAAATCTGTAGTGAAGACTATAGCAGTGTAACAGTCTGACAGCCAGATAGACGATACAGCACTTACCCAATCTATGGCTTGATATGAACTACAGAGGGAGGGAAAAATAGCAAAATTAGAACCAAGCATGAAGTCCCCATCAAAATCAGTCACTGAACTGGTCAGCTTGATGACAGGATACATATCACAAATCAATTCTATTTCAGTTCTTAATATTTCGACTTTATAATCATGGCATGTAAATACATGTAATTTAAGAAATTGGGAAAAATTATTAATAATTGTTGATTTTTTAAATTGATTACAACTTTCAAAACAAAACAAGTTCACGTATTGATTTCACTTTAACCCCCACCCCTTTTCCTTTTCGTTCCCTTTTAAAGTGAAATCATGTGACAATAACTTCTTTCCTTGCATTGGACCAGTTCATTTAATACAAAATTTTGGATGATGAATGCCAGATGATATGAGTATGAATGTAGCAATGATAAATAAAAATCAATGCCTGCATAGCATAAGTAGGCCTATGGAGCTGAGATATTTAAATCAGTGATAAAATCGAGTGAAATTAAACAAAACAGACACTCACCATCAATGGCCTCCAATGCATAGTACTGCACATCTATATCTGGGTCCCCCTTCATCTTGTCCAAGACAGGCTTAATTTGTTGTTGAATTACACTACAGTACAAATAATGTCATTCTTTATAAAGCTCAATTCATAATGCCCCTGATCTTTATGGAAATCATTGGCTATTATTTATAATATGAAACAACACTTCTATCAGGTTAAATACAACCTAAATGTAACATAATTACTTTTGAGAAAGAAGTCATTTCCATGTACAAGCTTTGGCTATAGAAAGTAAACAGTTCACATACAGTGAATTACTGAAGAACTTGGTAAACTCACCTTTGATCAAACATTTTTCCAAGACGGAGTATTGTTTTGGCGACATTGAATCGAACATTTGGTACAGTGTCTCCAGCCATGCTAAGAATTGTGGGTAACATCAATTTCAGTGTGATCTCGGGTCCACATGCCTCGGACAGTAGCTGAAAATGAATCATGGTATATCATATCACAGTTGTACATGTATCACACCTATAAACTAACCCATGATTATTACATGCTTAAATTTAAATCTACTGTTTTATCTTCAAAATGAAATTGACACAAATTGAATTTCTTGTGAATTTCATTTTGCACTGTAAATCTAGCACAAAGCTGACCAGTAAAAATTTAAGGTGAAAGTTCAAGTGCCAGTGAAGAAAAATAACTATTTCTAGCCCTGCAGAAAGTTACCTAAATGGTGTGTTTGTGAAGGTAAATAAAGGTGACCTGCAATACTTGTATTGATTTCCCACAAACAGATGTCTAGAATTTCAGTAATTACAAATTTTCAATCTCAAGAATTAATTGGGACTTGTATTGCTTACACTGATATAGAATTCAAAGGTCATTAATGAAAGTAAATTTGGATACTGAGACACCTAAGGACTTGTATCAGTTAGACTGATACCGAATAAAACGGTGAGCTAACAAACCTTTAAGGTAATTCTGGGCATTTCTAGCCCCTGTACACCTGGTATTACTTACATTGATACAAAATAGACATGTGAGTCTATGTAAGTAATTCTGATCCCTAGACATTTGTAGGACTTTTGGGATAACTGTTTGTTGAGCCCAATCTACTCCAAACTTTTCAACCAACTTCTTCAGATTTACTGTGGCAGCATCACGAATAGCAAACACTGAAAAAGAACAGAACCATATTCAAGAATTAAACACTAACAGAAGAACCTACCATAGATTAGGATTCAATCCAAACCATAGAACAGGTGATTTTCTCCTTAGTTCTTGTGAGATATTGATGTAAGTCCACTGAGATATACGTTATTTAAACACTGTCAAACAACATCAATAATTAATACAGATGTGCAGACCTGACATCTTTACGACACAACATAAGTACTGCCTTAATGGCGATCTATAGGTGATAAACTTACCATGGTCTACCAGCCAAGTCATGCATAAGGAATTCAATTTCTCATCAAAGAAG